AGAGAGAGATAGGTATCCTAGTGGACAACTACTTATTTTTCAGAGTATAAGACACACCTTTTTCCCTCAAAGAGGGTGAAAATCTCTGTGCATCTTATACACTGAATGCAGGATTTTTGGCCTCCCAAAACCCTACCCCCTTTGCAAAAAATGGCTGTGCATAGCCTTTAGGAGGCTTCCAGAGTGCTCCTGGGGGCTGGAGGGCAAAAACAAGCCAAAAACAGCCCATTTTTCACTCATTTTTGCCCTCTCCAGCCCCCAGGAGCACTCTGGAAGCCTCCTAAAGGCTATGCATGGCCATTTTTTGCAAAGGGGGTGGGGTTTTGGGAGGCCAAAAATGCTGTATTCAGTGTATAAGATGCCCCCAGATTTTCAGCCTCTTTTTTGAGGGAAAAAAGTGTGTCTTACTCCGAAAAATACGCTATTCATTCTACAGCCTTCCACTGTGTTGGATTCCAACTCCCAAAAGTCACAAATAAATACAGTTGGGTTTGAGGAAGTTATCCGAAAACTTGCAATATTATTTGATTAACACAGAGAGATACTCAGGGTCAACCCTCTACGTAATTATTTGAGGTCATTCCACCTGGGAGCAATACATTTTATTTTATAAGATTTTCTAGTCCAAATTGTTCCAGTTCAGAGGACTACAGATGCACTGAGAATTCAACAGAAATTACTCCAGAAAGCATGGAATAGAGCCATAATGTCAGCATAAAGACAATTTCTACCAAGATTCTTTCAGATGTAAAATGTACTTTAAAAAGAAAATGGGTTACTGTAATAGAGGATAATTTAATGCAGCAGATTTTAGCAATGAGGGCCAGAATTTGAAGGTGTCATGTCATTTAAGTTATCATTCATGAGAAATAAGAAATTGTGCTTCTTCACACTATGGTTGGACGTGTGAACTGATCATAGAAAAAAAGGTAAACTTAATTTCCAAATTTCCTGTCCGGTGGGATCATAAAGCATAGGTCGGTTATGGTATAATATCAGAGGCAACTGTAAATGCCATACAACAAAAATTAAACTAAATATCTAAAATATTCTTTTGGAATATTTAGAACTGGTGGAGAATATTTGGGAGTTTTCATCTGGGATCTTGAACTCTTAAGGGTAAAATCAATGAAAAATAACATTACACAGCTGTAATGAAATTGTGAAATTTGGGTTTTTAAAAAACATTTTGGGAGGTCTATTTCTGATGCCATCATACAAAACTGTATAATGAGGTCCACTGACATAAAAATTAATGTCTTCTCTCTAATGGAAGAAGGCTAGGTAAGACTCAAAACTATTTTTTACCGTGTTTCCCTGAAAATAAGACAGGGTCTTATTTTCTTTTGACCCCAAATAAGCGCTTGGAGTTATAGCAATAGCAATAGCAGTTAGACTTATATACCGCTTCATAGGGCTTTCAGCCCTCTCTAAGCGGTTTACAGAGTCAGCATATCGCCCCCACAGTCTGGGTCCTCATTTCACCCACCACGGAAGGATGGAAGGCTGAGTCAACCTTGAGCCGGTGAGATTTGAACCAATGAACTGCAGATAACAGTCAGCTGAAGTGGCCTGCAGTACTGCACCCTAACCACTGCGCCACCTCGGCTCTTTTTATTATTATTATTTTCGGAAGGTCTTATTATTTTTGAGGTGTAGGAGGCAGCGAGCGTGGTCACCTCATGACTGCTGCCATGTTGCAATATTTTTGAGGAGGGCTTATTTTCAGGGATGGATTATTTTTGCACATGCGCTGAAAAGCCCAATTGGGCTTATTATCCAGGGAGGTCTTATTTTGGGGAAAACAGGCAGCAGAGGAAGCACATAAAGCTTGGATGGTATTAATTAGTGAAAAAATAACAAACCCACAACTAACGTGGAATACCTATCAGGACCAAATACTCAAGAAGGATTCAAGATTATACAACTTATGGGTCGAAGGACAACTACCAGATGATGCTATGTACAACTAGGCTATTTCAACATAAGCCACCCTTTTATACCTTCAGTTGGCAATGTGCGTAAGCTGTAAAAAGACTTGAATTAAGAAGCAAGACTCACAAAACTAAGGCCCTGGTAGCGCTGTAGTTTGAATCCATTGACCACATAACTTGGTTTGTATTGACATTCTGGAAAGATCCGGCGGATGTGGGATTTCCTTAAGAGAGGCACTAAGGAGACCAAAATAAATAAATAAATAAATAAATAAATAAATAAATGAAAAAAGAGGCAATTGCAAAGGCTTCACTTCCAAGCGGTCACATGTCATCTACCAAACATTGAAGTCAGGTAGCAGGCCATTTTGAATTAAGTTACGCAGTTTGGCTTCCTTCATTTCTGAACGTTAGGGCTACGCGGAAACTTTGAAAGAGGTGATTTGAAAAGCACGATAGTGCCAATGAAGCACTTCAGCATCCCCAATTGTCTCTGCATGTATGTGCCTGCCCAGCCAGCTTGTTTTGCTGGTGGTTCCAGCAGAAGCATTGTCTATGCATAGTTAAACATATATAAAAGCCGCCTGTCAGCTTTTGAAGCAGCTGTGTGAGTCTTGTGAAGATCAGATTGTTCCAGAGGGTATTTGGGGAATGAGCTTTGGTCATTAGCAGGCTTATTTGGTCTTGTTCCTTTTTTTTTGTATTGGATTTTTTTTTTAAAAAAGACTATTCTTGCCCTACTAATGCAACTGAACTCTGAAGAGCGGTCAAGCAGAACATCACAATGTTTACATGCATAGATGGTGTCCCGGGGGTCAGCCTTCAGCATGTCAGCTGGGTGTTCCATAGGCTCCTGACTAGGCCGCATCTGGTTTGCCCGAGTGGCTGGTGTCTGTGGGATATGACCAACTTCATCCATTTTGATAAGAGTTTCGTCTTAAGATAGAAAGAAAGAAAAACTAATAAGTAGGACTGAAGTGGGACTCATACCAATGATGTGTGAATTCCTGACAGAACAGTTAATCAGTGGAACAACTTGTCTCCAGAAGTTGTGGGTGCTGCTCCAACACTGGAGGTTTTTAAGGAGAGATTGGACAACACATTTTATTTTATTTGTTTATTTGGTTTGTCAAACATGTACAAGATAGCAGGTATATATATATAAACATGCTTTAGGCATGGCTTTTTCGCCCTCCCCAGGCTCCACGGGCTTTTTAGGAGCCCGGGGAGGGTGAAAACAGCGTCCCCCGCCTCCCTGGAGACCCTCCGGAGGCCTCCGGAGTTTCCCTAAAGGCTCCGAAGAGCGAAAAATAGACATACGGGGAACCCCGAAGTTTGTGAACGGTGACTTCCGGTTTGTTCATAGGGGCGATTTTTGACTACCAGAGCCTTCAGGAGGCTTCCCTGAAGGCTCCAGAGGACAACAAATCGACCTATGGACAAATTGGAAGTCACCATTCCTGAACTTCCGGGTTCCCCGTAGGTCCAAGTCACTTCCGGTTTGCTTGTAGGGCTGTTTTTTTCCCTGAAGGCCCCTGAAAGCTCTGGAGGGTGAAAAATGGACCTATGGGGAACCCAGAAGTTCGGGAATTGTGACTTCCGGTTTGTGGGTAGGGCCGATTTTTGACCCCCTGAGCCTTCAGGGGCCTTTAGGAGGCTTCCCTGAAGGCTCCGGAGGGCAAAAATCAGCCCTACGGACAAACCGGAAGTGACTTTTGTCTCTTGACACCCTGTGAAATCTACCAACTATGTAAACATATTTAGAAAACATCTGTTTTCTGCGCACTAGCATTTGTGACAAAGCACTTCAGATAAAAAGGGGTAATGAAGTCGGAGAAGAATGGCTCCTGTTATTAGTTTGGTGGCATAGAAAGACTTACCAACATAAAGGGAGAGGAATTCAGAATCAATAATTGTAAACTTGGCTTCAGGATTATCCAGTCTCCACTGAAAGAAAAAGACAGATGCATAAAGATGTTATAGATTTGTTAACGGGGAGAGAAAACAGATTGATCTAAATGCACCTTAGCTGATGTGGTCTTCCAGAAAAGAAAACCCAATGATTTCCTGACTTCTGGAAGAATACTATAAAAGGGTTTTGAGCTGTGTTTGATTTCCCAGGTTACAATTTCTGATCGACAAAGTCAAGGAAACTATTTCAGAAGTATTTTGCAGTTAGTGATTGAGATACAATTTAATTTGAAATTTTAGGACTTGCTTCACTCAGCAGAAGAGCTTTGCAAAGTTAGTGGTTGAGAGTATAGTTTACGTAAAGGTAAAGGTTCCCCTTGCACATTGTGCTAGTCGTTTCCGACTCTAGGGGGAAGTGCTCATCTCCATTTCAAAGCCGAAGAGCCAGCGGTGTCGGAAGATGTCTCTGTGGTCATGTGGCCGGCATGACTAAACGCTGAAGGCTCACGGAACACTGTTACCTTCCCACCAAAGGTGGTTCATATTTTTCTACTTGCATTTTTACATGCTTTCGAACTGCTGGGTTGGCAAAAGCTGGGACAAGTAACGGGAGCTCACTCTGTTACGCAACACTAGGTATTCCAACCACCGAAACGCTGACCTTTCTGATCGACAAGCTCAGCATCTCAGCCACTGAGCCACCATGTCCTGATGGTTTTTTTAAAAATATTTTTTTTATTTTTTATTAACAAACATGTAAAACATACACATGCAAAACCTAGACCTACACCACATTTACACAATACAATATGAACAGGACCTTCCTGTTCTTTATAATAGCAATTATCAATCGATACCGCTCACCTTATATTATTTCCCCTTCTATTGTATTTCATTTGGATTTCACCATTCTTAACCCTCTTATTTTACTCATAACTATTATTTTTTGAGTTNTTCGTTTCAGGAGTGTGAAGATCTGTCCGTGAATCTCAGAGACTCTTGCCAAATCTTTCCTTGCACAGCTCCTCAATTGGAAAATATTTGCATGGCAGCCTTTCAAGCTAGATAAGGTCTGTGGTCATAAATATTGCTTTGAAAGACTGTTGTTTGCCAGGCCTTTTCTGAATGTGAATGGGAAGAATTCACATTCGTTTAATAAAAGGGGTTTTGTCGGGACCAGGAATCTGCTTTTGTGCCTAGGAAGCCTAGGTCAGAACAGCATGCAAGTAGTCCTTGACTTATGACTGTTCATTTAAAGACAGCTTAATAGAGCGGTGCGGGGCCTAGGGGTGGAGCTCTCGCCTCACAGTCACAAGGCTGTGAGTTCGATCTGGGGTGGAGGCAGATATTTCTCTCTCTGGGCACAAGGAGAATACATCTGCTGAACAAAACTCCGCATTGATGACAGGAAGGGCATCCGGCCATTCAAACACTCGGCTTAACTTCATTCAGTTGCCCGGATTCCACCCCTCAAGGGATTATGGGGTCGTTAAATGATTATGAATGGCAATTTAAAGACAGCTTAAAGAGACAACAGCCTGATAAAAAGTGATTTAAGGACCATTCTCAAAGTTACGACCAATGCAACAATCCCCCAATTTGAGGACTTGGCAACTGACATTCACTTATTATGGTTGTAGCATCTTGCAGTACAAAATTGCAATTTGTGACTCTCCCAGCCAGCTTCTGACAAGCAAAGTCAATTGAGGAAACCAAATTCACTTAATGACTACATGATTGACGTAGCAACTATGGTGATTCGTTTAATGAATATGACCATGGGAAAAATGGCCATAGAATTGGGTCCAGTCATATGATGACTCGCTTGCCTATACTCATCTCAACAGCATTTAAGTTTTGCTATACATACGGTGTAAGTAAATGAAACTAATTCAGATATATTTTTTATTTGGGCTTCAGGAATTATTTTCAGGAAGGAAGTCCCTCAAAACTATAATGTCTCCCCATCCAGAAAATGTTATGCACTTCAGAAAAACGATACCCTAATTTTCATTTATGAACTAGTTGTTCTAAAATGATGTAATATACTCTATTTCACCCAATCTTTGATGGGATATCACTTTTATTTTTAAGCATTAGTGTTTAAATTTAAAAAAAACACACACACCCTAAAATACAGCTTCTGTAAGAGTGGCCACTTTGCTCATTGCAAGACTACAGAAATAAGATTGTATAAATTCCACAGTATAAATTCTGCCTCGGTTGGTGTTTGCAAGGGGAAAAGTGAAGGCATTCTCAGTTTTTGTCTTAATGTTTCTTTTGTATTTTGAACAAAGAAGATCTGAACACCTTGTCCAAATTAGTAATTTATTCTTCGTGGATGCCAGAAATAAAGAATCAAACACAATGCTAGCAGTATATCATAGAAGTGAGTACACCCCCTCACATTTTGTAAATATTTAAGTATATCTTTTCATGTGACAACACTGAAATGACACTTGGCTACAATGTAAAATAGTGAGCATGCAGCTTGTACAACGTGCTGTCCCCTCAAAATAACACAACACACAGCCATTAATGTCTAAACTGCTGGCAAGATATACTTAAATATTTACAAAATGTGAGGGGGTGCACTTGCTTCTGTGACATACTTGTAGACTAGATAATTAGATTTAATCTAATGCTAAAGGCTAATGCATTTTTAAAATCAATCATCAGCCTTAAAGCACAAGAGAGAGAAAGATAAAGCTAGCTTCCTGGTCTGACATAAAGATACATACCTTGCATTTTCGATCCATCTTCTGGTGGATCCATTTGCATGTATTTAGAAAATCCAAACCTGCAAGATTTATGCCAATTACTTCACATGGCTGGCATTTGGTATCCCCCTCCTTGACATACGACTGTAATAGACCCTGCCCATTATAGCAATAGCAGTTAGACTTATATACCGCTTCATAGGGCTTTCAGCCCTCTCTAAGCGGTTTACAGAGTCAGCATATTGCCCCCAACAATNCATCCACCTATACCATTTATCCCATATCTGGTAAAATTCTGATTCTTCTTTTCCCTGGATTTTTTTAGTTAGTTTGTCCATTTCAGCACAATGGATAACGGCTAACCTTTCTTATTATTTCATCTTCGCTTGGAATTAATTTGTTTTTTCATTTCTGGGCAAAGGCTATCCTTGCCGCCGTAATTATATGTAATGTCCTGACAGTTTAGTACAGCTAAATTGAGTACAACTCTTTGGCAAAGATCATATTTTCATTTTTCTTAGGGGGATATTAAATGGTATAAGAACATGGAACCAACTGATTCTATTTGGGTCTCTGGAATTTGAATAAACTTAACAGGGGGATACATGCAATATTTTCTTTATTTTTTCCTCTTCAGTATCTGCTCCCTCCTCCCCCCTTAAGGTAGTTTGAGCTTTTTGACTAATTTAACTACCTGAATCATTGTTGATATGTGAAATCACTACTACTATTAACTTCACACTCTATATCAGAAAGAAGATATTTTCTCTGACTTGAAGAAATGAAAAAGTTGGTCCATGAAAACTCCTAAGCCAAGTCCCTGTACGGATAACCAAGCCAGTGAACTTACTGCAACTTCCACATGATCTGTTCCTTTGTCGTCCTGCTTGTGCAGAATTTCAAAATAATATTTGTTTGCAGATGACAATCTGTAAAGGAAGATCAGAGATTAAAAAGCAAAATAAGTCTTTTGCTAGCAATACAGTGTATTAAAGTTATAGTGTGGCGCGGTGGCACAGAGGTGGAGCTTTTGCCTCACAATCAGGAAACTGTGAGTTCGATCCTGGGTAGAGGCAGATATTTCTCTCTCTCTGGGCACACTGAGAATATTATATCTGATGAACAAAACTCCGCATTGGCAAGAGGAAGGGCATACGGCCATTAAAACACTCTGCTAGCTCCATTCAGTTGCCCAGATTCCACCCCACCAGGGATTATGAGGTTGTTAAAAGAAGATGATGATGACAGTGTATTCAAGTTATTGAATTGACTGCAGATGAGAGAGAACGACACATACAGTCGTTGTATAATTTTGAAGCAACCATTAAACATCTCAGTTAGCCTCTAATGTGATGGGTGGGGAAGCATAGTAGATTTTACAAACCTTGTGCCTGTCACAGAATCTAGTTGTCTTAAAGAGGGAAACGCTCCTTTAACATTGCTACATCGAAAGATGACATCAACCTGTCTCATTCATGAGTTAGGAACAAGATTACAACCATCCCAAGGAAAATTGGTGGAAACAAGAAATTGCCAGAACATTTTTTTTAATGCCAAGGTTAGGTGCAAATGGGGAAATAGCCCAGGGAAAAGTGGGAGGGGGGGTCAATAATGTGGGCTTGGTGCTCTCTGAGCTTGGTGTTTTTATTGCAGATGTTTCATTATCAAACTAGGTAACATCATCAGTGCCAGCACATTAGCACTGGTGATGCTACTGTTGTGGTCTGCCAGCAGCCAGCAGAGCTGACAGCAGAGTCGGAGAGTGAGGAGGTTGGGGAGGAGCATGGGCCAGTCCTGGAGGCTGGGGAAGGCTTGGATGAGGGCTCTGCCTTGGAGGCAGAGACAGGGCCGAGGCCGTCTGGCAGTGATCAGGTGCCTTCGGAGCTAGACAGCAGTGAGGCAGAGGAACAGCTGGAGCCTGTTCCCAGTGTGCGCATGTGCAGAGCTGCCAGAAGAAAATAATAAGTCAGAAATCAGGGTAGGCTTGGGAATGAAGTCACAGATGGAAGGTGAATGGCCCCTCCCATAGGAAATAAAAGAAGAGCGAAAGGGAAGTGGGCTTTTGCAAGAAACAATTTGTTCGTTTGGTCATTGGATTCATTTCAGGAGTGTGAAGTTCTGTCCGTGAATCTCAGAGATTCTGTGCCCAGTCTTTCCTTGCACAGCACCTCATTTGGAAAATATTTACATGGCAGCTTTCCAAGATGCATAAGGTCTGTAGTCATAAATATTCCTTTGAAAGACTGTTTACCAGGCCTTTGCTGAATGTGAATGAGAGGAATTCATATTC